AGCCTTTCCATCATCTTTACTGAGGTTTCTGTGTGTTCTGATTCATTAGTGCAGGGAGAAGGAGAGCACTAACATGGTTTATCTCCTATAATTACTCAAATCGAATTTATTTTCAATAAAATTCTTGGAGTAAATTGCCCAGAGTGGGGAGAAGAGGGTTGGCCTGCTTTCACAGAACGCCTTGACTTTTTCCCATGAGACTTTGCTCTTTCACAGTGATGTTGCTCCTTGTCTTGTTCTCAGCCTGGCTCCCTCCAGAGTCTTACGAATACTTGCTAATGAAAGCCCAAGACCAAAGAGTGGAGAAGCTGCTTATTTTATCCTCCTCATTCTTACCAATATTGCTTGTCTTTTAATAATTTAGACATCTCTTATGTGATTAATGGAAGTTGAAACACAATTTACCTGGCTACATAGTAGGCAAACCTGGGGATATCTCTGCAATCTGCACAGTGGAATCTAGTTTATTTTTAATTTTTTAAAAAATTTATTATTTTTATTTTATGTGTATGCATGTATTGCCTGCATGTAGGTAAGTGCACCCATGTCACGCAATGCCTGTGGAGGTCAGAAGAGGCTGTTAGATCCCCTGGGACTGGAGGTACAGACGGTTGTTAGGTGCTATGTTGGTGCTGGGATTTGAACCCGGGTCTTCTGCAAGAACAGTCAGTGTTCTTAACCACCAAGCCATCTCTCCAGCCCCAATTTAAAAAATTTTTATTTTATTTATTTATTTATCTGGGGACAGTTTCTCACTGTGTGGCCCTGGTTGACCTGGAACTGGCCACGTAGACTAGGCTGGTCTGGAACTCACAGAGATCTGCCCGCCCCTGCCTGCCATGCCTTCCGAGCAGTGGGATCAAAGGTGTGTGTCACCATGCCCAGCCACGCTGGCTTATTTCTAGTCAGCAACCAGAAGAGTGAGAGCCAGGTATCTGGGCCCTGTGTGGGGCAGGGAGGGAGAAGGAGAGACTAGAAACTGGGCTGGACACTGGTTGGACACTTGTAAGTACTTTTACTTCCCCTCCATGAGACATCATGCATGTTTTAGGTGTGGGATACTATATGCCTTCTGATCTGAAGGCACTTCCATGCTCTTGAGTCAGAGCTTGCTGAAACTGGCAAGGTTAAGCTCACCTCTAGAAGCTTTGCAGCTGACTAGTACCTAATTGTTGAGACATATTTAAACTATCACTTTTTCTTGTTTCTTTTTGAAACAGGGTGTCATGTATCCTAGACTGGCTTGGAACTTGCCATGTAGCTGCGGGTGGCCTTCAGCTCCCTGCCTCTCCACTCCCAAATGCTGGGATGACAGACTTGACCCACTGTGCCCATGACCCCCCCACACACCTGGCCTGACCATACAGGAAACTTGCCCCTCAGGGGTCCCTTTGTCCCGAAGCACCCCTGAGCACCTGCATCGAGTTATGCTTCATGTATTTTATGTGAGGGCTAGAGAAATACATGCGGTGACTTGCTTGCACCCGTGCAGGTGTAGGTATCTTGCTGCTTTCTTTGGCCCTAGAAAAATCAGAGCTGTTTTTAGGTCTTCTTTTTATAGCCTGTGCTCACCCTCTGCTTACTGAAGTAATCCCCACTGTAAGCAAGCAAAGGGGATCAACCTCTGCATCTTGCCAAGAGTCAGCCTGCATGCAGTGAAGTGGACTGGGCCTGGGTTCCAGAGAGCTGCTGCCTCATAATCCCTGGACACTGAACACTGAGTGTCCTGTTTCTCCCTAGAGTCTGCAAACTCGCTGCAAGGATGGAACCTTGTCAGTCAGCACCTCACTCTCGGTCGCCATAGCTGAAAATCCTTCAGGCCTGGGTTAGAATGCTGAGAGGGGTGGTTTTCCATGAAGTCAGACCTGAGATGAAGTACCAAGGCCTGTCTGCACTTCTGGGTGTAGCCACACTTCCAGATCCTTCAAGAGTCATTTCTCATGCCTTCCAGCCTGGCTCCCAGAGGGCCAAAGGCAGGGCCTCTTGAAAAGTGAGCAGACGGAAACATTCTCTTTAGTCCTTTAATTCCTGAAGGTGCTGCCCGTGGGGGTGAGAGTAGCTTTGAGGGTAGCTCGTCCCCAAACAGGAGATGATCCAGAGCCTCAGCAGCTGTGCAGTAAGGCAGCACGTGTCCCTTCAGTCTCCACACTCCAAGGCAGAACGGCAGAGAGCACAGGGGGCTGGAGGAGTGAGGTCAGGTGCACAGCACTCAGCCTATGTTGGCAAGATGCTGATAGAGAGCGGATCTACAACTGATAGTGTGCCCCAAGTTCCCATGTGGAGTTGACATCAGCACAGTTACCAGCCCCTGGTTACTCTGCCGTGGAGGGAGATGAAGGATTGTCTGCAATTGGGTGGGTGTGGCTCATGATGCACCGTGAGGGGAGCTGAGGTATCTTGTGTTGGGAGGTTGTGGTGTGTTTCTGTGTTTCTGTTCAGCCAGGTTCAGTGGGTGCAGTTTTCTGTGTGCACCCAGGGCTTGCAGATAAAATTATGCATAAGCAAATGTGAAAATTGTTTTATGCTCAGAGTGTCCCCTAATGTGCACATCAATCACATTTGGACAAATTTGTGTTTCCTTGTAGCAGAACTGGCTGTGGTTTATTTGATTTTGGAATCAAGCCCCTTCTCCTGTCCGCCATTATTGGTTTCTTAATTTGTATTTAAGTTAAGCCCACGTCAGATTGAGTTTTCTTGCTCTGAGCACCTCTAGAGGAAACCAGCCTGAGATACTAATTTTTTCTGGAGCTAATCTGTGAGTAGTTTCCTTACTGGTAGATGTGTATGGAGACCTTTACTCTGTGTCAGACACACACAGTGCTGAGGACAGAGACGGGCAGAGTATAGTCCTGTAAGCAGCACAGAGTTTCAATGAAAAATCTTCAAAGCACACCTCTGAGTGTCTGCTTTGTCTTCTGAGATGGGACAGATGAGCCACTGTGTATTTCTGTGTGACCACGGAAACACATCCCCGCCCCTTCCCGTCCCTGCTTCCCTGTCACATAAAGACAGAAGAAGAAAGCTTGCCTGTAAGAAACAAAGATATGACTCCCATCTTGAAAATAGGCAAACTTGACATGGCTCTAGGGCTGGGGATATAGCTCAGAGGTAGGACATGTGTGTCCCTAGCAACACACACCACACACACACAGAGTACACAGACCACACCTCTATGTATAACACAAATACACACACATAAACACCTGTATACACACCACAAACACCACACAAACATACACACACACACAAACACATATACAGACAAAAAATACTTCACACATATAAACACATCAATACACCACACAGAAACACACAAACATGTGCCACACATGCAAACACCACACACATATGCAAGCACACTCCACACACAAATGCGTATACAAAATCCTCAACACCTGCATGCATATACCACACACATGAGCACACATGTGTGCAAACATACACTACACACAAACACCACATACACAAACACATATCACATACCACATACAAACACACATACCTTTATACACACTGCATACACATATACCTCATAGAAACACACCATGCAAACACATACCAATACACAAACACCCACATACCCACCACACACACAGATACAAACACAAATATACATCACACATAAACACACACATGTACTATACACATACACACCACACACAAATATACTCTACCCACAGATACTTGTATACACACATTACATACATGAGCACACTTGTGCAAACACATATCACATACATACAGAACAAACCACACATACATACCACACAGAAACACACAAACACGTATATGCACAAACACTACACACTAAAACACAAGCATACTACACACCCAAGCACATACATATACAAATACACAAATACCTGCGTACACACATCACACACGTGCCCAGATGTGCAAGCACAGGACACACAAACACCAAGTACACCATACACAGAAACATAGCTCACCACACACACACACACACACACACACACACACACGGAACAGAAAAGAACCTAAGAGGTCTTGTAGTCCGCCCCTCCCCACCTGACCCCCAGTAAGCCCAGTGGTCAGGTGTCCACTGTAGCCAGTGAAAACAGGTGTGTGATCCTCCTGGTGTTGAGACAACCCCGTGTGCATTTGTTCTTGAGGACGTACACATTATTATGTAAGAGTAGATGGTTGGACGAGCTCCCAAATGGTTAATATTAGTTACCTCAGGGCACAGAAGGAAACTTATTAACTTCCTCTTTATACATCTTTCATTGTTTGGTTTGTTTTAAGAAGCATGTTTTACTTTTTTAATTAAAAAATCTAATAAAGTAGGAAATGAATAAATAATAGTAATAAACAATATCCCCAGGGCCACAGAGCTTTGCTTCAGCCTGAGTTGTTAAAGCTGAATGTGTTTTCGGCACAGGCTGCCCAGCAGGGCTCTGGATGGGTGGGAGTAGGGTCAGATAGGGAGTGAGGCTGTCCTGGCAGCCTAGCCATGCTATCAGGGTTTCCGTGTCTGTGCACCACCAGCCCCCGGAGTTCTGACATCTGCCATTCGGGCACACTCTGCTCGGACCATCCCTGGGGGCTGCACTTGGTCTTTCCTGAAGTCCCTGCCCTCTGCAGTCCCTCTGGATCTCCTGGTGGTACTGTGGCAGTGAATATGGAGTGCACTAACGGCCTTTGGATTTGGGCCTCTGGTTTGGATCCTGTGACTGTTCTCAGGGGTGGGTCCTCTTCCTGAGCTATGTTCTTGTCTGTAACACAGCAGTATTGGTACAGTGCTAGGTGTCACTGTGTTGGAAGTTTTCTGGGGTCTTGCTGATGGGGAGACCATAGTCATTATCCTCAGGGCTTCCCAACTCCAGGACAGGCTCGTGCTCCTGTGCACTGACACTACTCGGTACTAAGATTTGGATCTTGGCCCCTTCCCTTGCCATGTCCATATCTCTTCTGCCCAAACCAGTCTGTCTTCTACTCTTTCCTCCCAAGTCCTCAACCAATTGTGTGTCTCCTCACAGGTCCCTTCACTGATGTTGTCACCACCAACCTAAAGCTTGGCAACCCAACTGACCGAAATGTGTGTTTTAAAGTGAAGACCACAGCACCTCGTAGGTACTGTGTGCGGCCCAACAGTGGGGTCATTGATGCTGGTGCCTCTATCAACGTATCTGGTAAGTTCTGGGTCTGGAGGTCCTGGGTGGGCTCCGAAGGCCCCAGAACTGGAGCTTTGTCAGCATGGGTGTGCAGTGCAGTGTAGGAGACCACTGACGTATATCCGCCTCTCCAACCCCACTCCTGGGGAAAAGCTTAGTGGCCCATCACCTTTGTCTCTCCGTAATGAGTATCTCTTTGTTTTAATGCTTCCAGCCTCTGTGCCTCAGTAGTTAGAGCAAAATTAAAGTGGTGACTTCAGAGTTGACTTGAGAGTGGCTTTGCTCCCTTGAAATTAAATCTGCCCTTTGGCAATAAATAGAAAAGGGCTAAACAGACTTAATTTTGCTTTGTGGGAGAAAGCTAAATAGAGTTATTTTCTTCTTGACGCTAAATGCTCTGTGACGTTGACTGTGTCATCCAGTGATTGGGAGGTGCCTCTGGTGAGGGCAAAGCTGAGGAGTTGGGGCTCAAGAAGCAGTGCAGTCAAGGGTGTGCGCCCTGTGCTTTCTGATGGGCTCTGCTCCTTGCTATGTGCATTTTCCAAAGCCCAGCTTCTAAAGAGAGGCTGGTAGAGTGCCTAGGCTGAGAAGTGAGGTTCAGAATTAGGGAGGTATAAGTGATGTGTTAGAGTTTAAATGTATCTGGGAAATGGAGTAAACTTGTGGCTCATCAGAACCTGTGAAGCTCAGGGGGCGCTCTGGGGAGTGTGTCCTTTAGACCCTGGTGACTCAGTGTCCTCCCAGCTTCGGCGTCGTTAAGGCCACCTTCTCATTTGAAGAGAATGCCTGTCTGGGTTTTTCCATGATAGATTTTGATTGTGATACATTTGGCTATTCATTTGACACCTAGAAGAAAATGATTCACCTCTTTGGAAAGATACAAGGTGTTTCATTATCTCAAACTCTTATTCCTCGCCTCCGTTGGTGACTCTCATTATGGTGTACTCACCACGGCCTGCCCCCCCCCCCCGCCCCAGACTCTTCTCTGAGTCTGTGAGGCCTGCTCTGCACTCTTGAGCCAGATTTTTTACCCAGGCGCAGTTAGCTGGAAGCTGGTCACACACTGTCCTTAGCATGTATCATCTGCCCGGTGAAGGGCGCACTGTCAACCTCCACTTTATGGTAGCTACTGGGTAACGAAGCTGATGTGTGACAGAGCCAAGGTGTGGTCTGTCTGGGCCAGAGCCTGTGCTCCATGAACTGGCATGCTAGAAGAAGGGCATGGGCCAGGGTATGGCCTCTAGGTCCTCTGGGACCTCTGGATCCAGGTGGCCTGTCTCTGTTGAGATCAGGGTCAGCTGAACCCCCCCCCCCCCATTTAGTGTGGTGCTGGAAATCAAGCCTAGTACATGCTAGGTGAGTACGCTGCCGTTCAAGGTACACCCAAGCCTTGCTCCTTCCTTTTTAGTCCTGTTCCCTCTCACTTTCCTTGTTCATACCACATTTGAGCAAATTTGAGTTTACCAGCAGATGAAAAGTACCAATTTTTCACCGGTAACATGAGTGAAACGCCTCGTTTTCTGAATAAAATAATCCTAGTGGGCAATTGTGTAGAGTAGGTGCCTTCTGGGTCATTGTGTGACTGTGTTTATGTGCCTGTGACTATGTACATATGTATGTGTGTGACTGTGTGTGACTGCACGTGTATGTGTCTGTGTGACTTTGTGTATATGTATGTCAATCTGTGTCTCTGTGTCACTCTGTGTCTAGAGCTGTCCTTCTCCATCTTGGGAATGCTTGGAAGCTATTACTACCTCTGATGTGCCATTTGCTTCTTAAGGAGGGCAAGGGCCTATGGCTGTCTCCCTTTACAGATCAGAGTGGAAGGAGCCAGGCACTGAATGGTACTTTTGGGTCATGTGGCTGTTAGTGGCTGGTGCTGGAGGGAGTGGTCCAGCGGTTATTCCCATGACACTGTCCTTCTGCCCAACTAGGTTGGCCGTGGCTACTTACAGAGTCTAAAGTGTAATCTGTTGGGACAGCAGCTGAATCATGACTGTCTGCAGGCTTCCCTGCAGACAGAGCTTGTACATGAGACAAGCTTGTACATGAGGAAAGATTCCTTTGGTTTCATTAGGTACCTGGGGGACAGAGAAACTGTGCCCGTTGTCCTTTGAAGGCTGCCTTATAGCTGAGGGAAGGGCCCAGTCTGTGGGCTCTGGGTTTTTAGACTTGAATGTCTTAGGAGCATTGTCTGTGTGCTGGAGAGTTGACTCGGGTTAAGAACCCTTGCTCCATAATCATGAGGTCTAGAGCTCAGATTCCAGCACACACATGACAGGCCAGGTGTCCTGTGTGCACTTGTAACCTCAGCTTTGAGGGAGGTGGAGACAGGACTGCTGGGCTGGCTGGCTTCTAGCCTAGCCAAGGTACAAGCCCCAAGTTCAGGGAGAGACCCGCTTCAAAGGGACAGGTGGAGAGTGACCTTGATGTGCACACAGGCATGGACACTCACACACACATGCCCATATGTACTCACACAGACAAATACACATAAAAAAGCACTGTCCTTGTCTGAGGGTCCCCTCCAAGTGCAGCTGTAGGATGATGTGGTGAGTCCTACACCTTGAGTAGGAGTTTCTTGGGAGAAGGTGGGTGGTCAAGCAGTGCACTTTCCTCAGAGCACTCGGGACCACACGTGCCTTGACACCATCTAAAGATGGTTGGCTCTGAGGTCAGGAAAGCCGAGTCTGAAGCCAGCTCTAGCCTTGCGCTAGTTGGTTGACTTTTGCCCACCTAGTCACCTGTATGGGTCCTGGAGCTGTAATGTAAATGGGAGAGTCCAGCGCACTTTCCTCAACAGCACCAGCTCTTATGCTAGCCGAGCTGTGCGTGTTCCTCACCAACCCAGACAAAACCTAGCCAGACTTTGGTGGAGATAGATTTGTGTTGCCTTAAAAAGATAAATTAATCTCACATATTTTATTAATTCGTGTTCTTCCTAATTTTCAGAAGAAATTCACGTTTATTCTTCCTATAACATGTACATGTTTGGTAGTGAATTTTTACATATAATTTACAAAACAGTGGCCATCAAATGAACTTAAAATTCTGCCAACATTCTCCTGCTTTCCACCCAGGATGTCACAGCATGCCTGAAGGGGCCAGGACTGCTCCACCACCCATTTTGAAGACCCCTCTGGGAAGTACTAGCTGTTAGAGAGAAGGAGGAAGGAGGAAGGAGGAAGGAGAGGGTACAGTGCAGGGGCATTCGCTGCCCAGAATGCCGGATTTGGCCCTTTGCTTTCAATGTCTGCCAGCCTCCCGAGTGGGGCCGATGCACCATCTGAACTTGGCAGCACCACATGAAGATGGGGAGCGCAGGAGGGAAATTGGGTTCCCCAGGATTTTAGACATAGATAGGGAGGCTAGAACTCTCCATTAAGTGGCTTGTTGGAAGCAGGGGTGTGTGCGTGTACACAGAGTTTCCCTGTCTATTTTCTGAACTGTATGTTGGGAAAATATTTTTAAGGTAGATAATTTCTGAAAATGTCTTTGTGGTGAGCTGTTGGTGGTGGTGCAGTTCCTTTAGTGCTGCAGTTTAATAATGAGGGAGTTTCCCATTAATATTCCAAACCACGTTTGCCAGCAGATACAGCAGGTGAAGTGGTAATATGATGGCCCATCAAAAATACGCCTCCTGTAATACGATATTAAGTTTAATATTTTTATAACCTGCACTGAATTCTAATCCCACTGCAGTAGCAGGCATGCTTCCCTTTACGGTTCGGTTTCACACATTGCCTGCCCGTGTGCCAAGTGGATTATACCTGCAGAGTGTCCATGGAGGGCATTGGGGGAGTCATTAAAGACACCAAATTTACCAAGTGTGCCCTGGGAACTGAAATGGGTTAAAGTTGGTCCCACTTCTTCTCCCTCCCCCCACCCCCCTCCCCCCTTCCTGGTGTCGTGAGTCTGTGTTTTAAATTGGAATTCGGAGACTTGAAGGAGTGGAATTCAGCCCTGACAGACAGTCCTGTCAGTGCCCTCTCCAATCACATTTAAAACATAAAGTTCTAGCCCTGAGGACAGAGTGCACATCAGCAGATCTTGGGATGGAAACATTGGTCAGTCAACGTAATTGGGAGTACTGCAGTTGATAATTAATCCTTCTAAGATGCTGCTGGCTCAGTTGGATGTAGCTGTTCAGGGGTGTTGGACCAGCCAGGTGGGCCTGCACCTGAGCTGTTGAGCCTCAGAGTAGAGGTGGACCCAGGCTACTGGCAGAGAAGCTGACCTGCGTCCACCCAGCGTGGGTAGAGGGCCGCCCTGGGGAGTTGGGCTTCTTAGCGGCACCTTCCTTTGATGGTTGCTTTGGAAGGCTCTGGTATGTGCAGCCTTTTAACAGATGGTTTCTACCAACTGGTTTGACTACTCTCAGATAAGAACAGCTTACACCCCAAAGATGTCTGTAATCTTTTCACCAGCTTTAAAAAACTTACAAGCAAAAATTCAGTTTAATTGTGCTTTTAAAGGTTTTTTAGTTTACTATACTACTTAGGTTTCTTAATTTTTGTTTTTTAGACAAGGTCTCTATGTAATTCTGGCTGGCCTAGAGCTAGTTATGGTTTAGCCTCAAACTCAGACGTCTGCCTGCCTCTACCTCCCAAGAATAGTTAGGCTTCTTAAAAAGAATACTTTTTTTCATTTTTTACAAATACGACACAACTCTTTTGTGTGCTTTCCAAGGATACTGCCAGAGGACTGTGATCTGCAGGGTGACCCAGAAACATACTCCATAGAGCTCAGGACAGCCAAAAAGGCCCTTCATTGGTCCTTGCAGGCTGTACCCTTGGCTCCTGCCTCCAGTCTGGCCCTGTTCTCTTGTTTAGTTTCACTACCCCATTCTGGTTCTTAGCTCATCACAGAAGGTAGACAGCTTCTAGAGGTAGCCTTGGGCAAAGGTGGTTGTGACAGTACTTGGCAGCTGGGAAGGATGGCCCATGAACACCCGGAGAGCAGGTGAGGGAGGTCTGGGAGGTCTGCCTTGGGTTCTGCTGCTGCTTAGTTCCCACAGCCTGGGCTTAGTGAGATAAGCTAGCATCCGGTGGAAGCCCAGAGGGAGGCCATGCTGTGTCTGTTCTGTTGTTCAGTTACAGGCACAGGAAGGCATGTTAAGAAAGGTCTTGGTGCTGGCTCATACAGCCTGCCGCACACCTCTTCTGTCCATCCTGAAGAAAGGCCAAGGGCCTGTGCACTGACCTCTGCACAAACATATGGAGCAGCTGCCAGGAGCTTGTTACCCGAGCTGGAGCCTGAGAGCCAGAGCGGCCCCCAGAGAACACAGGCAGTTCAGCGGCGACTTACTTATAAGCAGGTGAAATTAATTATTCAGTTGCGAGCTTTGAGTCACAGTGCCCTGGAAAGTGGTCATGATGTCAACATTTTGAGACTCCTAGAGGAAATAATAAACTTACTAATGGTAAGAGTTCACAGCTAAAATGTCAGGCTGCTTTGCCTCGAGCTAGTGCTAGATCCCTTCACCATGGTGGCACGCGGCCTGCAGCTGCTGATCAGGAGTGCTGGTTGGCGTGCGTTTGTCTTACGTTAATTTCAGACAGGAATAGAGGTGACTTTAGTACAGTTTAGCGTTCTGTGGTCTTCTGACGTTCAGGGAGCAGTGAGGAAGAGGAGGTGGGCTGAAGAGCCCGACAGCCATCTGAACCATGAGGAGTTGGC